TGTGAAATGTACTGAATGGGACACCATCTTATTAAACTTTTCCAGTGCAAAATTAAAGTGAATTGCTTTCTGGTAAAGGGGAGTTATACATTCAGATCATCTGATCAATTCTGATTGAGTAATAGATTTTAAGGGCACCTGCCACTTTTAAAAAAACACATTTGGGCCCATTCCTGGGAAATTGTAAAATAGTTAAATGTGTAACTTAAAACCCAAAATGAACATCCCAATACAATTTCAGGATGCATAGCAACAACTCCTATCTCCAGTTTCCAATGGTTAATAATGCTCCACTTGGAGGAATTATGGTGGACATCTCTATCCTCTCTGCAAGCTTTTTAAATATTCTTATAGATCACTTTGGTGAACCATTCCACACTGATCTGTAAATCTGTGTGATCTAAAAGAAAAACAGATTGGTCCAGAGAAAGGTAATTTGATAATGAAGTCATTAAAACTTTTCAAGTCAAGTCACCTTTACAACTTCACTAAATAAGCACCCCTTTCTTCACCAAACAGCTATATGTGACCAAGGAGAAGCCTAAACAAAGTTCAACGTTATTCAAGAGTTTTCTCATTGCTTTTCCGAATGTTTGCTATGTTTTGCTTGACAATATCTAAGTTTCAAAAAATATTCTATATATAGTAGTCTCTAAATGCTTTTTCCCCCAAATTTATTTCACTGCTTCTAATTATCATATAAAATACTGCTTAGATTTTTTTCCCATGATGTTTAGATGGATCATGGCATTGGTATCATTTATGAAACATTATCCTATTTTCAGAAGCAACTTTATGTTAGCTGACAGATAAAGTTGTATGGATTTACTATGTACAACATGAGCTCTGTTGTACACAGAATATAAAACAACCTTAACTCCTATGAACCAAATCCAGTGATAGGCTGAGAAATTCAATGTCTTCATGATCAAGGTGCCCTTTTTCCTTACCATTTGTAGATTCTGGATTTTCTCCACAGATTATTCCATTGTTACATTCTAATATAACAAAAATTTGTCACTTTATTGGGTTTTATTGAACATTTTTCCTTTTCCTTCCAACAGTCAGTATACATTACATCTTTGTTTTAAAAATTAGTTCCTACTAGCATGTTTTAGTTCTAAAATTGAAAACTCATTTTGAAACTATTCCATGAAGTGAAAAATTGGAAAATGTTTGAATTTAAAATAAAAGAGATTAATAATTTATCTATGCATATCTATGTACTTTTTAAATCACTAAACTTCAAAACTTTGTGAAGTGTTCAGTTATTGGCTGATTTTCCCTGCTCTTCATCTCTGGAGTGACATTCTACTTTAGATGTGGGCTACCAATGAATTTCCTTAGCAGACGGGTGCCATCATTCTGCACGAATTACAGCAGTGTTTTGTCCAGCATTTCACAACTGTCATTGGTCAAGGCCCTTAGAACTTAAACACTGCAGCTAGTGTATCTCTTCCCCTTCTGAAACACACTTCTAAATAAAGTTACCTAGTTTTACTTGATAATATCACAGTGTTTATAATCAAATCCCTTAGAATCTCAAGCTAACTTCTAGAAACATTATGGTGGGCTTGTACACCAACACACATTTCTATTTTCTTAATGAGAGAAAGAAAAAGGGCCCAACCATCTTTTCCTGATTTTCCAGTGTTTGTACCTCTTCTGTGCAGCAGGAAGAGCAGGACTGGGGGCTGGGCAACTCCCCAGAGGCACAGCCCCACCAATGTAATTCCCTAAATCAACTAATGGGAGAGAAACCAGATCTGTGTGGTCTCTAATGCTGTCCCACAGAGATCAATCATGTCACCTGAACAACGTTCAGGGACTAAGAGGCCAGCCTGCCCATGGGACAACTTCATCCCTTGAGTTATATTACACTGGGATATTTTAAAATGTTAAACCTTTGTACCAGAAAAATAACTGTTGTGCATATACAGTCTGAGGGATTACCTTTGCAAGATAAAGTATTAACTTAATATCATAATAGTCTCCCACATGGTCATATTTTAAATACATCTAGGATCTTAATATTAATTAAGAACATACATTTTAAAAATAAATTTTATCCCACAAGAGTATTTGTATCAACTGCTTTTAACAATTAGTGGCTATTTGTTAATATAGTGATTATGAATGAGCAGTGACATATGCAAATGCGAAGTACACAAAACATGAAGCACTCATTATTTCATGGGTATTACCATACTGAATGCCAAGGAATGGTTTTATAAGCACAAGTTCCTCTTAAAATGGAACTGAGCAGAAATAGGTCCTGTTTAAAGGAAGGCTAGAAAAGGAGTCTTAAGAAAATGTAGGCTCAAATCCCAGCACACTCATGAGACTCTTTTTAATCTTGTTTTACACAGCCTGAAATCAACCTCACTAGGCCTTCAGTGCCTGTGATAAGAACAGGTCAAAGGCAAGAAAGAGGGCACAAGGGTTTGGAGGGCTGAGCAGGAATCTGAGCTGTGGTTTGTAGGCAGATGTTAACTTCTCAAGTATCCCTAAACTACAGCCACAAGTATTAGCTACTAAATTTATGACTGAAAACCAAGTCCAGAACTTCAAACAAGCAGGCTCATCCACCCTCAGAAACATCTCCTGAGATGATAATGTATCAAATTAGAGACAGGAAACGAGCTCAGCAGGGGATTTCCAACATTGGCTCTGTCATTCACACTGTGCTAAGGCATCTCTGTACAGAAGGCTTGTAAGTTTCCTACAACTGTACCTTGAGGTTGCAGGTGGGTTTGAGGTAACTGCACTGTAATTACATTATTCACTGCCTAGATACTCAGACAACTTTGAAAACTTTTTCCTTTCATTCTGCCGAGTATCCCACTAATGATCATTGCCTGGAACCATAGCTTATGCCATGCTCTGGTAGGAAGGAACCTTCAGTCAGGAAAATATCTGCAGAGGGCAATGGACATTCTCTCTAGCCACTCCTCACTTTCTGTGGGGCCACACAATTTTGGTGCATGCTCATTTTCAAAAACAAAATGATTCTATGTTTAGACTCATAGGGAAAAAAATTAAAGTTTGTAGGAAACGATCCAGGGAGAGAAGAAATATATGAAGCCTGTTTAGATGAACACACCAGAAACATTTTTGAAAGTCAATTAGAAATCATAGCAAACGCCTCTGGAGTGCTTACTAACTAAATAAGCAAGAATTGTTCAGTGGTCCTGTCTGCTACATTCCCTACAATGGTATACACCGTGGGACAGTGACTGTAGCTAAAGCTGAGTCCCAACAATGTCAAAACTACAACGCTACATCTTACTTTTTAAAGAGAAAACAGAAACCATATAGTCCTATTCACTGGCATTTGCAGGAAACCACAATGTAAGGTGAATTTTGATTTCCTGTGATCTTCTAGCCCTAGAGAAGTCATTGTAAACTAACTCCCAAAAGAGAGTTCAAAAGTTAGTTTTTGGCTTCTGAGAAAATGCATGGACCTGTTCTGTAGCTGCTGCTGTCTTTGCTTGACCAGGATTGCCCAAAGGAAGAATGAAGTGATGTGGAAAAATTAAAGTTCCCACGAAGACATGGTTTCTTTATAAAGAGGAATACATGTACTGTTGTGATGCTTCTGACTTTGGGAATCCAAGTCCCTTGGCCTTGACTTGTATCCAACAAAGTGAAATGATCCATCTTCTTCATAGTCAAACCAGAAGCAAGATCTTTTAACTTTTTCCTTTATTTGTTGAAACTCCAATTCTCAATGACTGAAAGGAAACATCCCTAGACCACGTTCCTAATTTTTAAAAGAATGTATAAGTATTCCTCAGGACAGACTGTAAGGGTCACTTTCAGCCTACACTTTGGTCCACAGACCTTCCCAACACTAAACAGATTACCCAGTCTCACATTGCACAAGCAGCTAACCTTACTCACTCTATCTCCTCACAGACTATGATTGCCTGTCCAAATTTCCTTCTTACTATGTCACCAGAACAATCTATCTGTGACTCTGTATTTTTTCCTTTTAGGTTTTGATCAAGATATCAAATAAAATGTTCATTACGTACATCAATCTTAATTTGGAATGTAATTAAAAGCCTAATTTTAGCATGACTTTAGCGACTAACATCTATTTTAAGGAGCTATAGGAAAAGTAAACTATCATTTACTATATATCGTATCAACCAAAACCTCTCTATGTCTTGAGTAATTTTGCAGCCACACATTCTTTGTCAGATAGAAATAAAACAACAGCAATAACAAAAAAAAAAAAACCACACCAAGATTTTCTGAAACTACATAAAATATTTTAAAAATCAAGCCCCCATTATCCACAATACGAAATAACTACCACTTTACTCAAAGTCCCATTTCAAAGATGGCTGTTGACTATCAACACTTTATAGGGTATATATATATATATATATATATATATATATATATATATATGGCAAAAAATAAAACAAGCAAAAAGCATTCTATCAGGCTAGGAGGATAAAAATCCCCCCTTGAGTCCAGGTATTTCAGCACACACACAATATATGATATATATGATGGATGGTATATATACATATGTATATGTATACTGTAAGTTGTGTAGCACATGTGTAGTGTTAGTGCAGGGTCTCTACTAAGTCATGTATAGAGAGAGATGTGTTCGATATTTTGGGCAGATCTGTTTGTTTCATATTTCCCTGAGAGCCCAGTTTAAACCATCAAGGGAAAAATATTAACCATACTCAAATGTAAAACTTCAGATTCTTAGGCCAACTGCTCTTTTTCCAGAGATAGAGGGGAGGCGCACCCTTCCAGCAGAAGGGCTGTTCCAGATGAAGTGCGCATGGGATGGTGGCGTGTATATAGAGGCCATGCCCTCTTGCAAACCACCTATGACAGTATGTTACAACCTGCAAGCTTCAGAAAAGAGGGTGCTGTGTCTTGAAGCCAGACAAGAAACCCTGTGTGGGAGAGGAGAAGGGGGTGAGGAGGGAGGGGGCAAGACTGGGAAACAAGAAATCATCTCCTCTGACCTCTAGCGAAGTGCCAGGTTTTTTCTTTAGCTCTTCACATTTTCTAAATTTGCAGATCTGGTGTCCCGTTTTGCGGTTCCTGCAACTGCTGCAGACGCCACAGTTGATGAGCCTCTTGCAGGGCACGCAGACCCCACACCTTTTCCTCTTCTTCTTGGCCGGGTTGGCTCCGCCAGCTCCCCCCGAGGAGGACGAGGAGGAGGAGGAATGATTCTGCGGGCAGTCTGCCAGATTGGCAATTTGAAACGCACTGTCTGTGACGGCTGCTGAGGCTGCTGCGGGGGAGTGAAGGGCTGTCATGACGATGACCCCTGGAGGTAATGAGATGCCCCCTAAAGCCGGGATAGCGGAAAAAGTCCCCACCCGCTCGGGGAGATTCATTATCTCTGCTTCAGCAGCGCCGCATTTGAGCTTGTTCATGCATTCCCCCGCCAAAGGTCTGCAGTGTTCGGGGGATAAGGTGGAGAGGAAATTAGTATTTGCCATTTGCAACGACGGCTCTGGCGGACAGCCAGCCTTCCCCAGCCGCTGGGAGTCGTTCCGGTGGTGCATGCTGGTCCTGCCGCCGCCGCCACCGCCGCCGCCGCCACCGCCGGCGGCGGGGAGGATCGCCGAGGAGGAGGCGGAGGAGGAGGCGGCGGCCGAGGAGGATTTCCTGCCGGCCCCGCCGCCCCCACCCCCGCCGCCCCCGCCGCCCCCGCCGCCGCCCCCGCTGCCCCAGAGCATCGCGGTGGCGGCGGCGGTGGCCGCGTTGTCGCAGTTCCACGGGGACATGCCGATGCGCGCGGCGGCCGCGGCGGCGGCGGCGCTGCTGGGGAAGATGGGGGTGGTGATGCGCGCGATCTTGGCTGCCTGCGGGAAGGCGCCCCCGTTGGTCTTGTAGAAGGAGGTGGCAAAAGAGCGGTAGCGCTCCATCTCCGAGTTGTAATCCACAAGGCTGTTCAGGGCCCCCTCGGGCAGGTGGCTTTCCTTGGGCAAGCCCGGGGCCTCCGGGCTCGGCCCGGGCTCCACGCAGACATTGGTGTTCATGGTGCAGGGGGGGAAGAAGGGGTGCAGGGTGGAAGTGGGGACCGCCTGGTCCGACACCTGGGTGGGAAAGGGGGAAAGGTGGGGGGGAGGGAAGCGGGTGATGGTGGGGTCGGGGTACCGGCTGGGCCGGGCAGGAAAGGGGGATCCGGGTGGGGAGAGCAAGGTGAGGGCTGCTTTAGTCCTCTCTGGGGCGCATGTCCACAGGCGGTGAATTCCCAGGCAGCGTCTTCCTTTGCATTATCCTCCAACTGTTACAACTAAAATAAAGAAAGTCATTCCAACGAGCTGCACGAGGAGAAAAATTAAAAATAAATAAACAGCCACCCTCGCTAGCCCCACCGCAGACACCACAGAAAGCTCCCACGTTCTCCAGTCGGGTCGTTTGCATAACAATCACCAAGACGTGACCCCCCACCCCCTAACATTCCCATCCCCTGCTCCCTCCCTCCCCGCAGCACAGCACACAGCTCCTCCCCCCCTATTCTTGTAACCCTCCTGAGAAAAAATGTATTAATAGCTGGAGTACCCAGGGAAAGAGGAAAGACGGGGGTGACAAATGCCGAGGGAGAAGGGCAATTGGAGTGCTAAAGACATGCAAATCAGGGGTGGGAGGGCGATACTACCTATAAGCAGAGGGCATTTAAACATTATGAAATGTGTGAACAAGTGTTGCCTGGGCATGCAAATGCTGTAAAGTAGAAAACAGCAATGGCCCTATGAGGAAAACGAACAGGAAATTAGCAAATGAAGTAGTGAGAAAGTCTACAATACATCCGAGCATAAACTGTAAGCAAACACAATACAACTGAGAGCTACGAGACTGCCCACATACAATCTGAACTAAAGAGGCAGGGAAAAAAGAACTACCAGCTGCCACAGTGTCCTTCTGTGTCTGCGGTCATTAGTTTGAATCCCAGCACAGCTGGCTCTGTTAGGGTCTTAATTCAATGGACCAAGGACAGGTCTCAATTGTACAAGCCATTTGGTGGTGGAGCTTGGCAGGGGCAAGAGGGTGGTGTACTACTGGTTTAAAAGAAAGGAGAAAGAGAAAGATGGGAGAATATATATATATATATAAATTTTTTTTCAATGTCACAGACTCAGAACTGTCTGCTGCCCCTGTAAGAATAGCCCCAATCATTTCTAATTGCTGTTTCCTCCCTAGAAAAGAGGAAAGCAAGGAACCATAAAATAAAAAAAAAAAAAAAATCTTTCACCAACACTGATTTTTGCATAGAGTGAAAAAGAGGGAAGATTTCCTTCAGGTGTTGTTTACCCAAAGAACCATTAAGATCTTTTTTTCTTTGCTTCTTTTTCTTTTTTTTTTTTTTAAGAAGAAAGTTTAATGTTAACTGGGCATTTGCATTTCTCTGCTTACAGGCCATCATTAAGCTTCAGGAAGAAGTATTTTGGTTGCTTATTAAAGGGTAAAGAGGTACCCTGCAGCAGTTTAAGAATTAAAGAAGCAAAGATATAAAATGTATATTCACCTAGAAAGAAGAAAAAGAAAACAAACCACCAGTTTCTTTGTTTTCCTGTTTTTTTTTTTTTTTTTCTCTCTCCTAGAGTACCTTTCTCTGGCATCTTCTGAAGCCTATAGATTGGGCTAGAAGGTGGAGTGCAGGGAATTTAACTGAGGCCTAGTAGTGTCTGTCTCAAATTTTCAGAGTTTCAAATGCATATCAATTATAGTAATTATGCTTATAATTAGATTAATGAACCATTTATGTCAAAACTCCAAGTGTGAAAACTTCAAGACCTACTGAGGAGGCACCCTAAAAAAAATGGGTTCCTGTAAACAAATCCCTATTAGGCAAAGTAAATCAAGATAAGGAACCTCCCCCAAGGCTGGATTAGAAGCTAGCAGGCTTCCTTCAATCACAGCAAGTCCTTAATCACTCAGGAACCACCTCTGTGGTCTCACATTAAGGCAAACTGCTTTCTTCAGAGGTCTGATGACAATACAAAGGGGCCCCCAAATCCTCCTGGCTACATCTTCTTGGTACTTGCAAGGGTCTGGGGGAAAACACAGCAAAGAATATGCCCACAGCTTCAGTTTCTGTGAATTGCATTGAAGATGCAACACCATAATAACTGCTACTCACTAAAAACTAGTTATGCCAACCATGCAATAGGCATCATACCCTGAGTAGAGGGAAAATTTTAACATTTTAGTCTCTTGACCTTGTTCCAAAGAAAGAAAGAATTTAACATCCCCTTTCAGAGTCTTAGTGTGGTGTTTCCAAACAAGCTGTCCTTGCCTCTCTTATTCCCACCATCTCCCCCTTCCCACCTCTAGGTTCAATGCCACCAGAAACTGTAGAAAATGATTGTGCCCAGTATCCAGGTCATTATTGCTTAATCAATCCATCCCTGGAGCATGAAAAGGGTATCTAAGCCACAGCTATTGTTTGGCTTTTATTTAGCAACAAAATAAAACACACACACCAATAACTATAGTTCTAATACTAAAGCTAAATTAAACATCCATACTTCTTGCTTTGCCTCTGAACAATGTGACTGTACATGCCTAATACTGTATGTCTGGTCTACCAGAGACACGGAGATCAAAGGTCATATTTAACATTCAGGAGGAGGGGCGGGTGCAAATTAATTAATTAATTAATACAGCCACGGGCTTTTATTGCTGGAGTCCAGCATTAATATACTTTTACAATCCCACCGGACAGCAAACATTTAAGAGAGAAAGAGAGAGGGGTTAAAAGCCAGAGGAAGAGAAAGAACAATCACTTACCAGTCTCTTTTTATTTGGGGAGCCTTAGAATTTGCAGACGCTGCCAGTCTGCCTTTAATTAGTTGCACATCACCCCCTAACACAAAGAAACACAAATCCAGATGTGTCTTGGCAGCTCCCAATTACAACTTTAATACTTGTAAACAAACTGTTGGGGATGGGGGGGTGGGGTAAATAAATATGCGGATGAAAAAAAAATACCTGTAAATGGCTTTTTTTTTTCTTGTTGCAGAGAGGAGGAGGAGATGGTGTTAGTGGAGGGGGTGGAAGGAGGAGGAGGTGGGGGTGGAGAGGAAAGCGCCGAGTGTGAGCGTGTGTGGGAGAGCGCGGGGCTGTTGTCGGTGGTCTCTGCTCTTCCCAGCGCGTTGCTCCCGGTCCGTCTCCAGTCGCTGTGTGCGAGGGAGGGAGGGAGCCGGGGAGTCTCTCCCTCTCTCTCTCTTTCTCACCCTCCCCCCTCGCTCTGTTTGTGTGTGTGTGTGTGTGCGCGTGTGTGTGTGTGTGCGCGTGTGTGTGTGTGCGTGTGTGCGGTGGCTGGGGGAGGGGAGCGCAGAGAAAGGCGAGGGAGGCGGTGCGGAGCCGGGGGCGGGGGCGGGCCGCGGCGACGGCGCCGAGGTGAGCAGGACGCAGGCCGCGGACACCTCCCGATGATTGGCTGCAAATTACACGGGGAACAAGAGGCGCACGCGGGCCAGCGCTCCTTTTCACAAATCCCCAGCTCGCCGGCGAGGCCACGTTTCCCGGCCCGCCCGCCAGCAGCCGGCGCGGCGGAGGATTTGCTTTTTTTTCTTCCCCCTGGCAGATAATTGTTTGGAAGGGATGGAAAAGAGGGCGTTCCCGCCCCTCGCGCCCTCGCTCTCTGCGGGTGTGTTTGTGCACGCCGGGCGGGGGGGTGTGTAAATAAACTTGTCTGGGTTCCCTGGCTGAGCCGGGAAGAGCCATGCCAGACACAGAGGGGAGGTCCTGTGTGGTGCAGGGAGGCTCGGTTTCACAGCCTGGTCGCGTGCTTTTTAAGTGATCGTCCTGGAGTGGCCGGGAGAGACTCTTTAAACATAATCATTATCGTTTGGGATTTTTTTTTTAAAGGAGGAAAGAACGAGTGTTCCGGTGGTTCGAATCTTAAAATGTTATTATGCCAGAACGTTAAAAAAAAAAAAAAAAAAATGATGTGATGCTTGACCGATCTCAGTCTGGCTGTCTTTCTCTCCTCTCCCCCTCTGCCTTCCATTCCCACTGTGTCCTGGTCTCCCTGCCCTTAAGGCTTCCCCCAACCCCTTACTATTTTATCCCGTAGTTCCAAGGAGTCAATTTTGATTCCAAACTTTGTTTCATATCTAAATGATCTATTTTCACTCATATTAATGTGATGGACATTTTACTTCCCATCACCTGCGAACATACTTCAAACTGAAAGATAAATATTTAGCACACATCACATATAAATAAAAGTCACATAGAAATGCAACTATGAATTAACCTCTTCACTACTGCCTCAAAGAAAATGAGATAACCTGGAGACATCCTGTTGAACTATACACACACACACACACACACACACACACACACACACACAGAGGTCAAAACATACATGTAAAATTTTGAGTTCTTTTAAATGTTTCTTTTTCCTATCCCCTACCCACTTGGATGGGGCATTGGGAAGGGTCTCACACTGATCTCTAGGTGTGCATGTGACTCTAAATGAATTTTCTAAGAGGAAACAAAACCAGACTTAAGTTTGTTAAGGTAGGATAAAGTTACACGTTAAAACAAAAACTAGAGTAACGTAGTCGTGTGGTTTTACAGAAGGAAGAAATATATGAGCTATTTGTTTTGTGAGAACAAATTGCTAAATGATAGCACAGACCATTTTGTATTTGAATTTTCATAAGATTTACCTTGACCTTGTCTAGATTTGGATTTGGTCATGCTTAGGTAATGGATAGCAGACAAGACAATAAGAATGCTGGTATGGGCACTCAAGGTGTTCTTTCAAGAGGGAGTGGGGGTTGAAGTGGAGGCAGATTTGTTTGTGACCCTGTGTGCACAATTGTCATGTTTATAGACACAGGCTAAGTTTGTTTATAAATAGTGATGTCCTTTTCAGACAAAATAATTGCATAATTAGTGAGACATTTCTACATTCTTGTGAATGCTTAGCATATTCAAGGAAAGAAAATTTCCATTCGATGTTTGTTTTCTTTCTTTTGTTTTTGAGCTGAGCATCATATGAAATCTATCAGCAAACTACAGCTATTTTTTTTAATGAGTAAATACATTCTACAAAGATTCCTAAACGTCTTTTGAAATATATGGATATACAGATAGGGTTTGTTTGTTTTGTGCAGTCGAGACAAGGTCTTGCTGTGTATATCAGAGTTGCTTTAAACTTATCTTTGCCTAATGAATGCTAAGATTATAGGTGTGTGCCATCACATTCGCTTCCAGGTTTTCAAATATTTAAAGCACTGGTTTAATGTTTAAAGCTACAATTGATAACTATTGTTGGTGACCAATCTGTGCCAGACGATTTGCAGTGTCTAATTTTAGTCTCTTCCATTAAAAAGAAAAGAAAATAGAATCCCAGAGAAAATCAAATTGTTACATTAGCTCATGAAGCTAAAGTTTCTACCAAAGCCTGTCTTCGTTCAAAGCCTTTTGATTATAACCTCTGCCTGAGTTTCATGATCAATAATTAATTGATCAGCAGACCCTCTCTAGATATTAGAATCTTAGATTTAATTATGATTGTAGGCCCCTGGCTAGTATGACATCAACTGAACACACAGGGAAAATTATAAGCAGTACTACTCACTTCTCAATATGGCATCCATCTGCTTTCCACTGGAGAGCTGACTGGAAGCTTTAGCAGATGCAATAAAGGAAAATTTCTTGTTCATTTTCAACCTCATTATTTTGATATGATTTTAGATACTTGTATGTCCATAATCTCTAACATTAGCCTATGCCCTATATTGCTGCTTCCAAGTAAAATGGGAGAGTTTTGAAAACTGCTTGCCACTTTTAATTTTCAGTTAATTCTCATCAGATTACATAATTCTGTGATATAATAAACCATAAGGGTTGATCTACATGATGCTTACCTCGACTTGCAACTAGCTTGTATCTTTAGCCTGCTTCTGAGATCAATATCACTGTCATTATTCCAGAATCTCTGAAAAGATGGTTACAGCTATTATAACAAATAATCTGCAAAAATATCAGAGGGAAACCGTAGAAGTATACCAGTTGTGCTTCTGATGGTCATTCCAGGTCAGAGGGAGGTCTGCTCATCTCTGAGTGATTCATAGATCCCATGTCCTTCTGTCCTGAGGCTGGGACATCAACTGCTTTGAGCTGACAGATGGGCACAGAGGAGGCAAGAATGATTGATCTTCAAGTCGAACACAGTACAACCCAAGCTACCATACACTAGGCAAGAACTGAGAACTTTCCATGTGTGGCTGCAAAGCTCCCTGGATGACCACCTCCTGAATGAAACTCTTACAGGGAAGGGAAAAGCATCTTAATGGTCAGCTGGCAGCCTCCTGCCCACAGTATCACGAGAAAAATAAACTCTTACAGACTATACATCTCTGAGTCCTACCTCAAGATTCATTTTCCTCCTGGGGGCTGTTTTACTAATTATTGCCCATTGAGATTAACACTGTAAGAGATGGTTTCTCTGTGACTTTATGGAAAGTTTGTCAGCTAGGGAAAAATTAAGTATCCTTAAATACCTAAGGACAGGCAAGATGGAGCTAGATTGTCCAAATAAAAATTCACTAGACAACAAAGAAATAATATAGTTAAAGGAAGTGTCATACATCTGAATTAAAATGACCTGTAGATAAATTTTAGGTGAAACTAGCTTCCATTTCTCTCTCCAAGAACTCTACTTATTCAGACCTAATTTCCTCAGGTAGCATAGTTCATCTTACCATTATCAGATGGAAAAAATTAACAGCTGTAGTCTAAGTGCTGTTACCTATCCAAGAGACCTATGCCTACAATGATCAAAGGAGAGGGAAGGAACATTTCACATGCTGTAACAGTTGATGTTAAGGAACCCAAAGTAGTGATTTGACTATATTGGGTTTCAAAACTCTGAGTACTTGTCTTTCTCCTTCACTTCCAATTAAATATGGGCATCACCACCTTGACATTCATATTCCATGCTGGTTCTTCTTTGCTGCTGCCCTTCTAGCTGTCTTCATTGTCTTACCATGCTTTTCTAATGACTAGGTAGACTCATCTATGGTTTGGCTGGTGGGCACGGTCAAGGATGAAAACTATGACAGTGGAGGGTAATGGAAATAATAGGTTCACAGGATTAACTCTATTACCCTGGCCCCATTAGTACTGGAGTCACATTAACTAATCAAGCTGAGCATACTTAACATGTTTTTATATGTAGTTTGTACCAGAAAAACACATGGCCAAGAGCTCTCCTGGGCATTGCATCTGTAGAATTGTTCTTCATGGAACCAAATTTGGTCTTTCTCTACACTGAGTTATTATGGCATTTCTTCCTGTCATATAATTTCCTGTTTCTACAAAATTATAAGTTATGCTCATAGCAGAAGAGAAATTATCCCAAAGCATAAAAATCTATACACTTTCTATGATAACCTAACAAAAAGGACATCCCCAGAAGACTGATCTTCCCACTGGCTCACTTAGCTTGACAGGATTGGGAATGTTCTTCCTTGTACTTTGCCCTGAATATTTGGCATGCTTTGCTCACAGAGTTGTAGAAAAACTTTTCAGATTTATTTCAGTGTATTTACTTTTAAAACCAGTTGGTTGTGAAAAGTATTAAGGATAGTAAACACCTTGTAAAATAACAGATCTGCAAACAACCTTGAAATTAGAGTCACAGGCTGTCCATTAAGGTCAGTCTTTTTTCTTATGCCTGAAGTATCAAGACCCCTAGCATGGACTTTTCTCCAGAAAATGGACCTCAAACTTGGTTCTGTGTGCTTTCTGAAGGTGGCTCTCTTCAAATGGTGAATATTTAAAAGCAGCATCAAGCATGGAAATATGGTGGGGATGTATATGTAATGATAAGCCGGCTTCATCTGTCACATAACACCACTGTTTTGTCAACAGGTACACAGTGTGACAGCAGTCTAAGTCCCTGGAGCACAGTCAGTTTGTTGCCCTGGGTCCTGCTTTCCCTATGGTGTTATCTGACAGGGTTTACAGAACACTGGAAACAAAACTAAGACCCACTGAGAGGCCTCCTAATTCTCAGTCAAAACTCCCAATACAATCTGTGTCTCCCAGTGTTCTCTGTGGCTGAGGAGAAAGTGGTGAGTTTTTTATAAAGTGAAACTGTTGTGCAGACATCAAATGTTCCAGAAACAAGTCTCATGAGTCTTTATACTGCCCAGCAAGACACCAACTAAGACTGTCAAGAACTATATAAAAAAATTAACTTTTTGAAGACATAAAATTGGAATTATGAAGGAATTTGCTTTAAGTTACATAAAAC